ACAGGATAGAAAACCTCACATTTTGGTGTCCATGTAGGAGGTCATTATCCTTGAATCTCTCCTGTGACAAAGGATGGGAAGTGGGGTACTTGTCATCATTTCAAGGTCCTTCTGCCTGTGGGTATGGTGGTAGCAGATGAAGGAGCTGTGCTCACACTTTGAAGGCAGATTCTCAAGATGGAGATGTGATTCCTCAACACAATATCACCTGAGAAAACAACCCAGAGCAGGAGGAGGAAGAGGACGAAATGGCAGGTTCTCAGGTAAATGTCCTGTCCCAGGTCAGAGGCTGTGTCCACTTTTCCTCCTGAAATGCCATGGATTTAGAACCTGCAAACCTTTAGTTCCCTAATTATGCTGTTTCTGCCCACTGAGATTGTTTCTAAATACTTATTTTTTCCTTTTATTCTTATGATAGTCAGCATCAACTCTTTAGAATACTTCTCCCCTGTGTGTCAGAACGGTTTCTCCATTCTTTGCATCTAAGCTCCCTATACAGCATGAAGAATTCTCCCCATGAATTAATGATGTTCACCTAATGAAATTGTTCCCTTTGTGACAGATCAACATGGGAAGGTGCTGACATCCCAGATCCCTACGGGGATTGTTCCGATGGTCAAGTATTAGTGAAGGAGGGGAGAATGTAGCTTTTAGGTTTCATAATGATGCAACATCAGCTCTGTAGATCAGTATTAACAAAATGCTCTGTGAAACACGGTGGCGTTAGTGGCCCAGAAAAACTCCGAGTTCTTAACAAACAAAGTAACCAGAAGAAACTTGCTCAGTATAGTGGTAAGAAAGACTATTTAAATTCACCATTAGAGCTACAGAACATGAGACGTACACGTGGATTGAAATTTGCAGAAAAAGTGATGTTTTTTCATCCTTAGCTTTAGATTATGATTTCCTTATATATTTTTTCCAATACTATTATAGCAGTAATATGTGTCTTGTGTGCTTCAGTCAACTGATATCAGTTTGTCCCATTACACCTGATTTTCACTTGGTTCTGGTGCTCTCTGCCAGATTTCTGCCTTATACAGTTTACATTTTTCCCTTTTTCATTAATAAGGATCTTGGAGGGATTTATGAAGAGATGTCATAAACCATCACATTTAATCTGGAAAGTCCCTTTTCTTCTTAGTTTCTCTTTGCAGTTTGCTTTGGAAAAACAATGTTCTCCCCTTTGTTTAGTGAAGACACTGGCTTTTGCAGGAGAGTTTTCAATCACTTGGGCCTCAGTTCTGTAAGATTCCATTTCATTTCACACCCATGTCATGGACAGTCTCTTCTTTAAAAATTCTTTATATTTTCAAAGAAATTTATAAGAATCATATTAATTTGTGTTCAAATGTGTTAAATTTCTAAAATATAGCTCAACACAAATGATACATTTTGAAAGAAATAAGGCTCAGAAACAATAGCTCTAACTGATGTCGTTGTGTCTCCATCTCCCTAGTGCATTTAAAAAATACACACTTTTAAAGGATTTACACAATTGACAATAATCTTGATTTCAATGATATGAAAATTTTCTTCTCTGTCACTTTTAGTGTGTCCAGAGTTCCCGTTTGTAGTCATGCCCTTGTGCATAAAATGTTAACATTGTTTGATCCATTCTTTCTTGTTTCTGTCTTAACTTGTTTCTATTATTCTTCTCAGTTACAGAAGCTGCTAGAAAGACACATTAGGGTTGTCTCTGTGTATTGGTCCGTGTTCTTTTTAGATAAATTCTAGCTCAGATTAACTTTTAGTAAAACCCAGGCTCTACCGTTTACTGGATATTGGACAATACATTCTCCAAAAAGGGGAAGAATAATATTATTGTTCTCAGATTATTTTTGTGGTTCCGGTGATAATACATAACATACTGTTAGAATGATATCTAGTACATTGTACATTTTCAAAAAAGATTGTTCTTACCACACTTACTGTGCTGTTAGAACCTGTAATTTCCACAACACTTTCAGCTCAAAGTCAACCACGGATTCTTCCCCTTTTGTTCTACCTCTTTGCTATTCCAGTGTGTGGGCCTTGTGCCAGAGGCTTTACCATCATATGTTAAAAATGAGATTATGAAAAATGTGGAAACCCATGCCACACCCCAGAACTCCTGAATCAGAATCTGCAAATTAACAAATCTCCAGTTCATTGAGAAAGTTAAAACTTGAGAAGTACATTTCTAACTCGCCATCACTGTGAGACAAAATCACCACTTATCCTGCCTGATATAAATTCAGCCTCAAAGAGGAATATGCCTGTGTTGATGCCTTAATTTTATAATTTTTCTACCACAGGTGTATAGTCTCTACTGTGGTTTTGTGGATCATATGTCATCCTCTTTCCTCAGGGTTAGAGGTCATATTATAGAATGTTACTTTGTATATTTTGTAATATGTAATTGCATATTTCAGGTCACTCTCCTAAGTCACAATCTGATCCCTTTAGTCTCTCATTTCATATTGGGTCAAGCTATGCACTCTCCCCAGAGACAACTTGGTAAATGTGTGTGCTTTTAATTTCATGGACTGTTGACCTTCAAGGATGTGGCCATAGAATTTTCTCAGGAGGAGTGGGAATGCCTGGACCACACTCAGCAGGAATTGTATAGGGATGTGATGTTAGAGAACTACAGGAACTTGGTCTCCTTGGGTGAGGATAACTTCCTTCCAGAATTCATACTCCACTCTCAGAGTTTTGATTCTTTTGTCTGTAGAATGTTTTCCGGGAGCTTCTGCTTCCTATGATAGATTTTCATGTCCCTGCTTTCAAGGAAAACATGGGGTGTTGTTAGTGTAGAAAAGAAAGTCTTCATGATGTTTTGTTATGACTTTCACCTTCCCCTTTCTTGAGGTGATCTGCATCTTTTTCTCTAGATTAGAAGTAGTTCTATAAATTCAGTTCTATAAAATAGTGTTGCTCCCATCTTAAGATCCATTTTTAACCTCTTACTTTTCACTCAGTAGTACTTGGAAGTGGAACTCAGGGTCTGAATATTTTAACTGTTGCCTAGTATAGCAAAGTTGTTGTCCAGAAACAGTGTTTGTGAAATTATTTTCTAGACTATCCTAACATTCTACAATGTTCCCTCTTTTCACTTGGACACAATACTTAATTGGAAATTGGAGAATCTCCAGTAAAACTCATGTTTCTTTATCTAATAACCAGGTCTTGTTGTCTCTAAGCCAGACCTGATCACCCTTTTGGAACAAAAGATGGCTCCCTGGGATGTGAAGAGAAAGGAGACAATAGCCATACACCCAGGTAGGTGGGAATGAATGAGGCAGATGACACAGGTGAGAGTTGCAAAGATCAAGGAGGAGGCCAGAACTTAAAATGTGGTTTAGGAAGATCTGCTTCAATGGAAATGATGTGTGAGAAAGCTAGGTTTATTTCTGTTGCTGTCATAGAGGGTCATCTCCTGCCCAGCTCTTATCATGGTCTTAAATCTTCTAAGGATTCTCCTTCTGCTCCAGT